TCTTTTCAAATCAGATCTTAGTTATCCCATTATTATCAGATATTTTATTTAAATAAGTTGTTGCGATTCTACCAGATCTCCATATTGACTGGACTGCGCTGAAAGGTTTTTGAGCTTGTGCACTTGGACTGGACTGAACTGAACTCAAACTTTCAAGACCATGGACTGGTCTGGACTCGAAAAAAAGTTTTGGATTCACTTGAACTGAGGAATAATCAGTAAAAAACAAACTTTTTTGAATAATAAAGACAAAGAGTTTGATGTTTTATTTAACTTTAATTACATATAAAAGAAATTGATCGGTTCGGTCCAGTTCGGTTTCAGAAAGTCTCGCTTCGGTTCGGTTCTGTTTCAGAGAATTCCCGCAGATACGAATTTGCAGCTACGAGGTGGTTCTATCCAAAAATAAAACATAAAATATTTGATAATGCTTCCTATCGAATAGAAAAAAAAGAAAAACATAACGGACTGACCTGTTTTTTGACATTTCTTTTGCGAGGGTTTATTTGGTAGACAACATCTGATAATAATGGGATAACTAAGATCTGATTTGAAAAGATTTGAAAAGACGTATTATCGCAGGAAAACAACTGTTCTATAAGAACAAAAAATATCCGATGCCTGTTTGTTTATGCATGTTTTACCAGTAAATATTTATATTTTTAGAAACAATGTCCTTCACAGTAATATTAGTGATGTGGCCGAAATGATTATTTGTAAACCCCCCTACTTAAACATTTTAATATATCAGTCGGCTGAGTTTTTGATAAGGGTCCAAATGTTTTGAAGCTGAGCATCTAGCGGATCTAACCATGTAAAAATATTGGCGCTAGCACCTCTAGAAACCGCTGTAATAGGAGTTGTGGTCTGTTTTTAAGCCATGGACATTGCGTAATTTTTTCGGAAAAGTGCTTTTTCGTATGCAGCACACTCGATAACCCGGAAAATTTTCTATTTTTGGCGAGGGGTAGTTCCAGAAGTTTAGGAAAATTTTCGAAACAAAATGTCTCCAAAAAACTTCGATTAGAAAATAATATTAGTTTGAAAATTTTACCGGAACTTTTGGAAGTACCTTTCGCCAAAAATAGAAAATCTTCTGGGTTATCGAGTGTGCTAAATACGAAAAAGCACTTTTCACTAACTCAAAACCAACTTTATTTTTTTCCGGTGATATGGGTTATAACCAGTGCGTGGCTAATTGTGAATAGCATATGAAATTTTAATAGAACTGCTATGTAATTAATTGTGTAGAAAAAACGGTGTTCTACTTGTGGTAGAGCACCGGAGTCTATCAGCTTCATCAAAAGAAAAGCCGTTCGCAACAATCTCATAGTAGATGTGATCGATGTTGCTCTTCGCTACTGGCTCCACTATTCTAATAAGTTCTGGTATATGGATTGCAACGTAGCAGCACTAGAAAAATACTCTCTAACTGATGTAATAACGTAACGCTACTACAGATATTTGCGCCCTCTATATCGCTTTCGCCTATTGCGCAGAAATTACTGCAGTGAAAAAAGAAATTGTCGCATGTTCGCCGAAGAATTTTCTTCGAAAATGACACACAAATTATTGTATTAACTAATATAACATTCTGTATTAGCATAGTGAAAAAGTGTTGCATAGCTAATAAAAGTACTCAGAAGTGTATTTTACAAAATATCTAACTTAAGTCAAGACATAACTGAATTTTTGATTTAAGTAAGTTAATAGTACATTAAGGCGTATTTCATCAATTCATACAGATCGGTTAAGTTAGACATTTAGAAGGAAGAATACCCCGTCTTGCGGTAATCGTGAACAATGTAGTGTACTAACAAATGCCAGTTTGAATAGCCAAATACCTCATCTACAGTTGACCATATTGTTACTTGAACTCTCCGGATTTTGGCTCCAGCAGGCGTATGATAATCTGTGAGCGTACTAGAAATGTTTTTGAGCCTCTCCTGATTCTTCTCTGCCTATGTTGTTACTAATCATCAACCAGCTCTGGTCAGGAGGCTAGTCTGACGCAGAATTTTCCGCCTGAATACTTGAACTCCTCATACATATTTACTGTCCAACCGGAGAGATTGCATTGTACAGCACAACATGCTGATTAATCCATCGAAAAGTGATCCGAGGCACTAAGACATTAAATAAGTTGCTCAATGTTATTACATAATCTATTGTCGTCGAAGATCAATAAGAGTACTTTGAAGTGCATGACGAACAGCATAACCACTAACTCATGCTGTTCCATTAGAAATTTAACTTAGTTTTAACTTAGATTTTTGTGAAACAAACCTATATAATCAAACAGATGAATTCTTCTGACAGAAATATCACACTTTGCCTGAGATTTTGATGGTTTAGGAACTATATTTTTGACTTTTGAATGTCATAAATACATCAGAGTGCTATATTTTCTGTTTTAACTGCAACTTCTAGATGTCTAATAATGAACAACGTGGTAAAATCTATGGTGCCGAGGTGACAGATCGTAATACAAGACTACTCCGTCTCAAAGTAGCTCGTGCTAGTAATTTACAACGAAAAGATTTCCTTGGTTCATCAGTGGGCGATCCCTATGTAAAAATATCGATACAGACGTCTGATAACCGATGGCAAACGTTCGATAGTGTATGTATAATTTTCCTCCGCAGAATTTGACGAAATGATCAATGTTACATTGTGTTTACAGGCTAGAACAAGTACCGTACCAAAAACACTTAATCCACAATGGAATCAAGACTTTATATTTCGAGTATGTGCAAACATAAAGGTTTATTCAGATGAGTAGTTGTCATTCATTTAGGTTGATCCCACAAAACATCGCCTACTTTTCGAAATATATGATCATAATAGACTGGTATATGATAATACATTGTACATTTTGAAATGTATCGCTGAGAATATCTTTTCTTATATAGACCAAAGATGAATTTATTGGAATGTGTTACATTGAGCTTAACTCTAATATACCAGTTGAAATGCTTGACGTACAAATGCCAACAAAAGAATACCAATTATTCAAAAGAGGGCATGTGTTTGTGTTCTCCATGATTTTATTTTACATTACTTGTTGATACTTTTTAGTGGTGTTCAACGCCTTCGTTCTAGTGTTATTATTGGATTGCAGTATATCAATCCAAGTATTTCAAGACAAAATGCCGACGATGAAAGTTCTACAGTCGAAGTAATACAAATAGTTTTATTATAAGATCGTGGACTCGTTTTTTTCTTTTGTTTTCCAATAGACTAGCTCTGAAGTCATAAATCGAAGTGATTTAAATGAAAATAATCTACCACCTCTTCCACCAAATTGGGAAGAACGAAAAGATGCACAACAACGCACATACTATGTGGGTAAGTATCCTATTGTTTAGTTTTGTTTTAAACCGCTATAATAACTTCTCTTGTTAGATCACAATACGCGAACAACCACTTGGACTAGACCAACTAGAAAGTATGGTACCGTGTATTGCTCTTATTTTTCTTGCATAAGTTATTGTCTCATTTAGCTCTAATGCCCTGCAAGTACCACAAAGATCTAATGTTGGTTTTCGTAGACAAATTGACGATATGGAAGTTAGTATAGAATTTCTGCTTGTGGCAATCGAAATATTTTAAACAACATTTTTATAGGCTAATCGTGCCAGTATTTCATTTCCTTCCGATACGGCTAATGGAAGTCCTATGGCAGCACATGCTACTGCATTAGACGATATTCCATTGCCGGCTGGTAATTTGATATTTTTTCAATGAAATTCATTGTAATGTTTTTTGTTCGTTCTTGTCTGAATAGGCTGGCAAATGTCTAGAAGTGAAAATGAAAGAGTATTTTTTATTGATCATATAAATAGACGTACGACTTGGGTGAGGTTTATTATACTATGTAGTATTATTCCGATTAATTTAATTTATGTACTTAATGTCATCGTTTGTCTTTCAGATCGATCCTCGCACTAATAAACCATCTCCTCAACCAAAACCATCAAAGCAATTGTTAACAGATGCTCCACTTCCGGTAAGATGGCTCTTATCATCAATCAATTATAGATTGAACCAACGAAAGATTTGCATCGCACGCATATGTTTTGATGTTTTTAGGCTAATTTTGAGATGAAAACACTGCCCGATGGGCGTGTTTATTATGTTGATCATTGTAAGTTTTTACGATGTTTTCTTGAGGTAATAAAAACAATGGCCATTTTTCTCTACAGCGACCAGAACAACAACTTGGACAGATCCACGTGTTGCAGGACCAGTACGTACTGTTTTTTCAGGATTTTACAGCTTCAACAACTTGAGTGATGAACTGCTGCACACACCCACGACTACACACTATAAAAACTGCTCAAACGACTCGTCTGAAATGAAAATCTGTCTGACAGGCGAAAAATCTGTATCAAAGCATATTGATGAGTGTTGACCAAAACCAAAAGTTAAAAGTTTAAATTGGATTAAGGTATTCAAGTTTTATAAAAAGTCCTATAAAATCAAAGGTTGGAAATAAAGTCCCACTTGTATTTTGTATCATCTGTAAAATTCTATTTTTTTCAATTTTCTAACTCATATGAAAACTTGATGTAGATAGTCTTAAAAACACTAATATGCTCGAGTATTTTTTCGATCCGCTCCCAGGCGACAAAAAGTCGTTAAACGACACGAAAAACGCGTTAGACGATCGCTAAAAGGGCCGTTTAAACGTGTTTTTGTCGTTCAGAAGTTTAGAATAACGCGTTTACTAACGATCGTTAAATTAACCGTTTTCTGGCGTTTTCTAACGACGTTAAAATGACCGTTGAAAGACGTTTATTTTATATAAAACGCGTTTTAACGTGTCATTTCTAAACACGTTTACAAAAAGAAAAAAATCCGAATTCATATCATTTTAATGTCGTTAGACAACGCGTTCAACAAAAACGTCAGAAAACGATTAATTTAACGATCGTTAGCAAACGCGTTATTCTAAAGTTTTGAACGACAAAAACGCGTTTAAACGGCTCTTTTAACGATCGTTTGCTAATCCCTAAAAACGTCTTTTCAAACGACTCAGAGGTAAAAAGCGCGTTTTTATTAGCGTTGGTTTTGAAACATGTAACGCGTTTTATGATCTGTAAAAACATCCAAAAAACGCGTTTTTTTCTCAACTTACCTCTGGACATTCACCTTCTTATGAAATTTGTTGGTAGAGCAGTTGCAAATAAGTATTTGTAAATCGAATATAGAACTGCTATGAATAACATGACTTTCAGTCTTGAAAATACTTTATTCGAGCTTTCGCCAGCTTTCAGTTGGCATCATCAGGAATGTAATAGACATTCGAAC